GGGTGGCCTGCGATAGCCCAGTGTGGCCACGGGGGCAGGTCTGGGTGGCCGCTGGTCAGGTGCTCGGCTGAGATGCAGAGCGGGCGGCCTGCGATAGCCCAGTGTGGCCACGGGCGGCGTACGTGGGCCCAGTCATGGCACTGACAAGGCCGGAGGCGGCCCCAATAAATAATGAGCCGTGCCGGTGGAGTTGGCGGGGGGGGGGGGGGGAGCAGGCGTATCCACAGTACAGCACAGGCTTGGCTCACCGAGCGCAGAAGATCGACACCTGCCACGGCCTGACGTGGTGGTCTCATCTTGATGAAGAAGACAGTTGAACAGTTGAGATCATCCTGTGTGCCTCGATGTGGGGTCACCTTCGTCCTACAATAGGTTGGGTTGACACCGGATGACTCCAGATTAGCGACCCCTTTCTAGAGGCTATGACAACGTAAACTGCGTACTTGAGAGTTCTCAAGTGAATGCTTGCCTGACTGGCAGCACTCGGCGAATGTTGGTGTAACGTGAGATTTGGAGACACTGAATTTGTGGCGTGATTTCAAATTGCTGTGAAGTTGCGTAGGCAAAACGACTTTCGCACCATCAATTACAATGCATTTATTACGTCGCATCCCCTGAGTATAAATAGTCACGTACGAACGTCAAGTTTCGTAACCACGGGTAATCTGGAGTCACATCTGCTCGCGATGACTACCACAACGAGTGCATGACGATTTGTCCACAAATTGTTTTGCTCACTTAGCCAGCAGGGTTCTTATGTTTTTTTTTACCATGGTGACACGAAATGTTTGATGTGTTTTCCACCAGGCCACTCTGTAAAGCCAGTTGGCTGCCAACACTTCAGTGAAATTGACGCACCTCTAAATACGACCAGGGGTGTTCAAAATACAGTTTTTGTCACCGACCAAATTTCTGGAAGAAAATTTGTCCCCTGCATCGTAATACGATATCATTTCACAAAATGGTCATTGAGTCCATGCCTAATAGCATTATCAGTGATCAGCCTATCACCGAAAGTCTCTTTCATCACCGCAATTTTCAATATCAGGCATGTAACCAAAACGTTCAATCATACACTGTCCTCCAACAAATGTCAGGATAATTGCTGCTGCTAGGAAAGCAGGCACACCTGCCCTAGACAAATGAGATAATCCAATCACAACACGAGTTTTCTTCCATCCTCGATACTTGCCGGGGCCTCACGTCTAAACTTGGTCTACGGTTGGATTTATTTTCTTCGACCGCAAAAAAACGACGAAGGACGTCGATAGCCAGGGCAGCATAATGCATGGTAGATTTCGAACCAGTGGCGAGCGGCACTGGGAAGGATGTGAAATATGAGGGCCTCCACGAGGCCATGCCTCCTTATGAAAATTACGTCCGCGCTTCGAGCCCTATCTCAACCGTCATCAAACTTTTCACCATACCTTAGGCATGCTCCAAGCCGGGCGCGACATGTTTTGACCGGTGGGCGCCTTTCGCCGTGCCACAACAAGTAAGTTGTGCCAAAATTTGTCAACAACTTAACATCAGGCGGCTAGCTCTTTCTGAACAAGTTACTCTCCCTGACAGGAGGGAGGGGAGGGGGGGGGGGCAATGTAACCCCCCTCCCCTACAGTTTCCTGAGGATACCAATGCGGCACATTGCGCGGTCTCGCTCAAATCTTTGGTAGCATCTGGGACATCCATTGCACGCGTGTTGACACCCGAAAGTGTCTCTAGCAATTCTGGTTTCAAAGAAGCGATGTTTTTACGAGCATTGCAAGACGATTCAAGGCCGGCGGGTGCGGCGGGCAGCCAGCGACGATTCTGCGGACCGCGCACAGGGGCCTGGCGCTGTTACCTGAACGAACCCCACGTTACGAATATAGGCTCCAAACAGATAAAACTACACGCCATTGTACTCATAATTTAACAATGGACACGCCTCTCTATGTTGCTTGTCACTTCACTGCATGGCTTCGTATATATGAACATGCAAAGCTGCTGTTTGGTTTTCAGGAAAATTTGACCTTCGACGTGGTCTAGTGGGTCGATTAACAACAGGATAATTATTACCAATCCCGAGATCTCGTTAAAGACAGTTCGCCTGTTTGTCTTTTTTGCAATGTTTTACCTTTCTTGGTTTGTAAACGTCAGTGAATGACCCCCCCCCCATCAGTCCGCGTTACAAAAACCGACGAATAAGGGTAAGGGTTAAAATCGTTGGCTGCCAATCTGTTTTATCTATTTTATATATGCTGGTGTAAAAATGTGCATTTGAGACGATGAAATGAACTGCTGCAATATATATATATATATATATATATATATATATATATATATATATATATATATATATACAGCCAACATTGTCCTCAGAGACAAACAATTGCCATTATAGGACAGTTGGACCGCAATACCATAAAATCTCCTGCTATTTAAAGTAAAACCCTTGGCGAAGGGGAAGCTGGCAATGAAACCTGTACCCCCACCCTCATTGCCTACATTTGCTATACCACCCGACTCCCCAGTTTTATTACCTTCCAATGGCCTACATCACTGGCTATCATATAAATTTCCAGCAACTAAGATTCATATTAGCCAAAGGTTGAACGGTGAGCAACTGTTTAAATGTCATCGAAGTATTGATGAAATAATTGCAATTTAAGCAGGGGCATAGTTTTTGAAGATAGGTTTGGGAGCAATGAAAAATTATGCAATATACACCCAAAATATGAATGCCTTCTAGATTAGCACACTTCGGCACAAATTTAGGGCGGGGGGGGATGGAGCCCTGGGCTGAATAAAAAGTAGGAACACCCTTGATTTGAAGATCTATGTGACTGGTAACCAATCTCAATCAAGACAAGACCAAAAATGGCATAAATGAGGCATTTCCGAACTATTATCACCTACTGTTATTTCCCTTCGTGAGGAATGCCATCAGATTTCAACATCAAACCCGCAGTTCTTTTCAAAGGAAAGAAGGCTGGTCGCTCGTGACTACTTAAGTGAGTCAACAGCCTTTGCGGTATATTGAAAAGGCGGTTTGGATAATCTCAGGTCAATCTCTACCTTGGTTGCAACATCCCATCGACTTATCCTGAACCGTCAGTGTCTCTCGTCGCTGACGACAGGATGCTGAATCGTGGCACCGCCAACGAAATAAGCAAGGTAAAAAATTACACCCTAAGCAGGCATTCACGACACTGCAATGCGAATGTCACTTCCAAAATTGCAGTGCATTGAAAGTCACCGCCCACCCCTTATCAGTCCTATCGCAATTATTGAAACATGCCCTTGCGGCCAGGTGAATCTCCATATCTATATTTTTTTCGTCGGCTTTTCGTCGGCCATAGGGAATGCACTGATTTGTCGCCGACCTGCCACCGATTCGGCCGACCAACTAAAAATCACAGGATATTTTTGTCGCCGGGTTGAAGTGAAATCTAGAAAAGATACTATGGTGCCGTAGATAAAGGTAAATAGTCTTTACGGAAACGTTTGTTATTGTTGTGTGATGAAATGTATTATCATGGAGGCATAATATCTATGTATAGAATCCTTACGTTATGCTTAGCATAGGGTGCTGTCTTTTTTCGTCTCGGCCGTTACAAAAAAAATGTTCTCCAAAAACATTTTGGCACCAAGCTTCGCGTGATTATATACGTTTTTGTCGCCGACCTTATCCACTAAGTCGGCAGGTTTTACCACCCCTGTATACGGCTTTGCTTGAGTTAATGACATTACTCCAGCGCATTTACTTCACTTTTAATTTCTCTGCTTACAAGCGTGCTCTTTTACGGTGGCGTCTCCCTTCAGAAGGGCCGTAGTAGTGAGAGTGCCAGTGCTTTAGTGACGCGCCCCGCACGTTACAGTATTTCGAAATTTCACCTATATATCTATATCTATATACAGCGTATACATACATGTATATACAATATATTACACATGTGTGTATATATGTATGTAAATACGTATGCTATTTTAGTTCATTTATGTCTGCTCACAATCACCTACCCTTATCACCAACCCAATCACCTACCCTTACACATTGAGCTCACAATGATACCTATCCTTACACACTGATGTGCTTAATATTTTGTTAAGCCTTCCTTAGTGCTATGAATTACTTGCATATATCTGCATATATTTGCATTTTTCAGTTGTATATTTACATTATATATATATATATATATATATATATATATATATATATCACATATGACTTTTATATGTGTGCACACATGCATATAAGCCAATGATATTTCACCTTTAAACTAGCATGTTCCAAAAGTCTACGTCAAGTGCACGACTAGTTTAAAAGTAAAATGAGATCAATGCGCATGGAAAAGCTGCGCATGAAAAATCCATTGAGATTACGTATGTCAGCCAACTTTTGTGGAGAAAACGCACAGGTGTTGTCTGAGTGAAGTTAAGCACAGCTGCATGTTTATTTATGCGTGGTCTCTCACGTCGTTGAGTCTTGCTACTACGGGCCGCGTATTGTACGCTCTGTGTAGAGTGTGTTGGATCTAGCTTAGATGTTGCATACCGATATAATGCTCCATCCTATGACAAATGCGCTCCTTGTATTTTGCTAAAATTTCGACGCCGAAAACCGTTGAAAACCTGGAAAGGAATTATCTAGATGTCGATCTAGTTGTCGGTGCCAACGTTAATAATAGCTAGGACGTCAGTTGCTGTGTATAAATTTGTGAAGTTCACATTGCCAAGCCAGCCAGTATCTAGGTTTCCAGTGAAGCAATCCTGGCCCGGAGTGGTGTCTTCTGGTCGCTACCACATGCATTCATCCTAATACGATAAATCTTCGACTTTGATCGACTGTTTTCAGGATCGTTGGCCGATGTCCCGAACGCCATTCGAAGCGTTCAGAATGTGCGATACGCAGGAGGTCCTGACCTGCGGAGGACGGCGGTCAGAGCTCCTATCACCGGGGTGTTACTTGGGCGGCGAGAGCGCGGAGACACCGTGACCCGAGCCGGCGTTTTCCACAGGAGATGTGCAGGAGCTCGCCGGCCCCGAGACGGACGCCCCAGGGCGCATGCGCCCCGTTCGCCAATCAGCGCCGGAGCCGGGCAAGCCGCGCGCCGGCCTGCCAGGCGCGGACCTGGTAAGTTATCTAATATGCCTCGATTGCACTGCCGCCGCAGCGTCGACTGTTTAGGCTGTGTGCCGGTGCGCGTCCGCCGCTGAGCTTCCGAAGCGCGGCCGGCCGGCGCGCGCGCGTGACATGCCGTCCGCAGCTCGCCAGTCGGCCGGGGCGGGCCGCCACTGACGCGCGGACGCCAGCGCCGGACAGACACAGTGAGCGCGAGCGACCGCCGCTCGGGGCAGAGGAGCGCGCCGATGACCTCCGCGTGTCCGGCGGCCGCCGCCGCCAAGGAGGTGGGTGTTGTGAGCCCGCGCGTGGCCGCGCCGCCCGGCGCCGAGACGATGGAACGGCCGCGGCCGTCGGCGTTCGTGGCCCAGTACGCGCGCCCGCCGGCCGTGGCCGCGCTGGCCGCGCCGCCAGGCTACGCGGGCCTGGCGCGGCCGCCGCCGCCGCCGCCGCCGGCCTACGGCTGGCTGCCGCCGCGGCTCGGCGACACGGCCGGCAGCGACGAGTACGAGCGCGCGCTGCAGCGCTACAGCCGCGCGCACGCCGACCTGGCACTGCGACAGCACTGGCTGCACACCTTCCGACAGAACGTGAGTGGACCGGCGCGGCGCCGCGCGGTCCCAGCCGCCCGACGCGGCCCGACGCGCTGGCGGCGCTCGGCCCCGGCCCGGGGCCTCCCGTCGTCTCACAGCGGTCCGTTGACGGTCTATGGCAGGCTTACCCGACGCCGCCTTCCGCGAGCTCCCATGCCGTGGCTGCCGACCGTGGCAGGCCGCGAGAGCCGTCGCAGGACACCCAGCTGCCTGCGGGGGAACAGCGGCTTGGTGGCGCGCGAGGCGAATAGCAGCTGCGTGGACCGCAGCGTGCGCTTACACCGATGTTGTGTGCGTTGCTTTCAAACTTGGGTGCGTGAATCCCAGGACACCTTGAACATTTCGCGACGAATTCAGCCGCGTTCGCTCAGAGCTGCCGATTGCTGTTCTGGTGCACGCCCCCCCCCCCCCCCATTTCCAAATCAGGGACTGGATTTGGGAGGAATGACAAAGGACATGTGAGGTCCTGGCCACAGTCAGTTATATCACCAGTCGTCATGACATGGGCACGAAACGGTCTGAATGTTGCCTCTTTCACTCAAGTGTAAACCGATCCTTCGCTATGAAGTAGGCCCTCGTCAGTTGAAGCATCTTTTATGTTCGCATTTTACGTTCGCATTACACCGGACGCTAGAAGAACTGCATCATCAGCAACCGCCTCGCAACAGCTCAGTGGCTGAGAATGGCTTCAGGAAGGCATCAATCCAACGATGGGCTTACATAGAAAAAAACTGAAAAGGGTCATTTTGTCCCTCAATACCAGTGTATTGCTATCCAAAAAAGGGACATGGTGGATCATTGTCATCCAAACACATTGACGCAAGGAAGCTAAAGTGGGAAATAGAACAAAATTCCGTACGTGCTGTGCAATTATTCCTCCAACATGACATGTCTTTTCACACTAAACAGAATAATGCAGTGGCCAATGTTCCCCGTCATAAGCAGATGTCAGTTGTGGAAGGCCTTTAAAGTCCTTCTCCAGAGGCAAATGTCAGTTGGGGAGGGCCTTTGGGGTCCTCCTTCAGAGGCAAATGTCAGTTGGGGAGGGCCTTTGGGGTCCTCCTCCAGAGGCAAATGTTAGTTGGGGAGGGCCTTTGGGGTCCTCCTCCAGAGGCAAATTTCAGTTGGGGAGGGCCTTAGAGTCCTCCATCAGAGGCAAATAGCAACTGGGGAGGGTCTTAAGAAGAGGATAGTTGTGTTGGGCTACCAATCGTGTGGTGGTGAACGCGTCTGCGCTGCGGTCATGGTGTCACCTGCCGTCTTCCTCGCGGCCGGCGACGCCATATAGCCGCAGCAGCTGAGTGTGACATAAAGCCTCAGTGACGACGGAGAGGAAGGTTTGTTTTGCTGGAAGATGCATCGTTTGTGTTTTGTTATAGAAAATACCAATTCATTTTTAACCGATGGTCAGCAAACGTTTGGAAAGGCAGCATAACACTGGAGCTCCACATACAAGGAGAAAGAAATGTTTATAATCTTGCTGATACAAATTTAGAAGCTATCAGTCGCATGCCATGACCGTCTAACTAATTGGAACAAGCCGCTCTGAAACTTGTAAGAAAAAACAGCGTCTTCACCCACGTTCCAAAGAGCTTCAACCGTCTGGTGGAGTGGGTGCATAAATTTAAATCAGAATATGCAAAATGAGGGCAACTCGAGTCCTCTTTTGTCCAATAAATGTGTTTCTCTGATGTCTGCCACTGGCGGCGGATCGTTTCTAACATGCGGGATTGAATGCCTACTTAGAGTAAGGCAATATAGGGGGCGATCACAATAATCAGCCATCAAGCCAGCCAAATGCGTTGCACTTGACGTGTTGAACGACCAATAATGTTAATTGACCATGATGTCAATAAGAACTGCTGCCGTTTGCCATCACAGCCACATGTAGACATGTGAGTACCATAACTTGGCTTAATTTGCGCTCCTAACACGTCAGATCCATTTCCATTGACTGAATGAAGGAGAGTGGCTGGCATCCTCGGCCTGCTGCTGTTGTACTCCTGTGGCCAAAATAAATTTGAAGCCCCTGCGTTACTTAAAAGCGCCCACATGTTAAATGCACCTCAACAGAAATCCCACCTACGCCTCTTCGTGGCCATGACACAAAGCAAAGTATGCTGCGCTTGACAAACGGAGCAAACAAGCTCGCAAGTGCAGGCCATCTGTGTGCTGTAACGCGGGCTGACGCCTCCCCGGACGATCCTAACCGGTGGCGGGCCGCGCGCGCGCCTGACCAGCGGCGACACGTCAGCTCCTGGTCCCTGGTGTGCCGTGGCTTGCACTGGGCCTGACGTCTGTCGGGTCATTGCGGGTCATTGTCGGGTCATGCGCACCGCAAGTTAAGAGAATTGCTACTGTCGCTGCCGCCCGGCACTGCGATCTTAATGGACGCCCCATTGGTGCGATGGGGGCAACAGCGGTGGCACCGGGCATCATGACCCACGGTTAAGCCTGCTGTGTGCCCTGCTGTGTGCCGCGGCGTGACACGCGGCTGTGTGCCGCGGCGTTTGCACGAGTACTGAAATGCGCTGGCGCTTTTAACCAAATTGTAATCTGCATACGCTTAAGGGTACGTGGGGGACTTACAGCCTGTTACTTGTTGAGGTTGCCCTTTTTGCGTCGCATGCTTCCAAACGGTGCATACCAGTGCTTAGCATGTAACTTCGCAGCTGTATCACATCTGTGCATTGGCCTTCTGCCCTAGCGCGACATTTTAGTGTGCAACAAAGCCCATTGTTCATCCGCCTGTTTTGTTGCCCATTTCTGCCTAATTGCATACGAGGTAAAACAACTCTATGGTGCGATCGACCCCCCCCCCTCCCCCCTCCCGTGGCGTCGTCCTCCCCCCTTCCCCTCCCCTCCTCCAGCACGAATTCCGATCGGTACCCACTCAGTGGGACCGGTGTACATCACCAATGGCCCTTGTTACGCTCCACCAGCCGGCCGTAAAATTAACGCCGCCCGGATTGTTTCCATTCAGCATGCACGCACACAGCGATCGGCCGAGCTCGGCGAGGGACGGAGGCCGCGTCCCTCGATGTGGTCGCGGACAGAACGGGCACCATTCCAATGTGCCGGGGACGAACCCGGCGTCCCTCACAGGGTCACGAGCTCAGAGCGTGTCTGGCCGCGTCTCTGCTCCAGAGACTGCCGTGTCCCACCCGCGATAGAGCACGTGTCCCTCCAGCGGGACAGGACACAGGCTTGCGCCGCTCGCTGTTTCCGGGAGCGTGGCCCCGCGTCCCTCCCCGGGGCCTGGCCAGGTGTGGGGAGGGGCCGGCGCGCGTGCCGTCGCCCGGCTGGCCGCTGATCCAGTGTTTGTCCGGTGGAGCCGCAGTCCCCGCCCGCCAACCACCGGTAAACATCATTCCCGGCCACAAATATTAACTCTTTGCCGCTTTAATTTCCTGCATCTTGGAGTTAATCAATTTTCCGGCCGGCCGGTGAGATGGGTACCGCCCGGGGAGCGCGCGGCGGGCGCCCCTCCCCTCGGCGCCCCCCTGGGGCCTCCCGGCTACGCTTTGATCCCAAAAACAATTTGCCTGACAGTCAAAGAGTTGCCGAGGAGAGGAATTCACATTTGCTCTGAGATTATCGGATCAAAAATTGTTGTCACGAGGGGATAATGTTGATATCCCTCGGGTATTATGCTATGAACAATAACAGGATTGAGCGGTCGTTGTTTGGGAGAAGGCTCACATTCTGCCTGGTTACAACTTTTTGCGGGCTCTGGGAAGACAGCTCGCATTTCGTTTTGAGATTCTAACCAGCAAGTGGCGCCAGACATGAAGTTACAGATGAGAAAGCGAAATGCATATTTTGAATGATGTTCAGAGTTATAGGCTGTTCCGACTGAGATGTCGTTTTAATTTTTCTTAATCCTTTCTTTGCTCTGTAAAAAGCTTCTAAAATGCGCTGACGTTTCTATTGCTCTTTTTATATGATGGTATTTGTAAATGTAGTAACGTTGCAGGGTTGAGGGTCGCGTAACTGTTTATAAGCCTTCTGAAAGCTCTGGAGGCTTTTCTGAAAGCTCTGGAGGCTATCTTTCATGGATTCGTTTCAGGTGGATTGTTTCATAGCGTTAACTCCTGATTTATTGGGGGTCGAATTTGCTTTTAGCATCGCTAAAGGCATTTTTCACGTGAATCACAATCATCAGAAAAAACGATGTAGTGCCCGTGTTGCCCTTTTCCCAATGATCCGCTGGAAAATCAGTCCACACACTTTTGGGAAGTTAACTTTGTTCAAATCTACGGGTCAGCATTTATTATAGCCAAAATGGCAGCAAATCTAAAACGCAACAAGGAGCTCAATTAAAGTTTGGTTCTGTGAGGTCTTATGTTGAAAATGAATGATCGGCAACATGACAGGAGGTACTGGTCAAACAACGTTATAAAGTAACCAATGATGTTA